AATTTATGCATAACCTTAATATCTTCCCCCTTTTGACATTAACAAAAAGAATTAAAAGTAAACTTTAGAATTGTAAAAGTAAACTTTTATTCATGAAAAAGGGAAATGCGGAATACAACGGAATGGAAGAAAAAATAAGAAATACAATCATAGGAAGAAGAGAAAAGAGAAGTCTAAGCATCGGCGTCCTCGTCGTCATCCTCGTCGTCCTCGACGTCCATGGGATCGCCGTCGACCGCATCTTCAAAGTCGGCCTCGTCGGGGGAGGAGGATGGAGCATAGGAGTTATCCTCCTCGTCCTCGCCTTCATAGTTTTGGCCGAGGAAGGTGCTGTCAAAGGGCGGCGGGACGTAGTTTATGCCGCGGAAGAACGCCGTCATGTCGTGGTGTTGGCGTTGCAGCGTCCAGTCCATCCGCTCAATTGACTGCCCCATGCCATCCACTGTGAGGGTTAGCCGGTTCAGAGTATCGGCTATGGATTGCAAAGAGGCCTTGGCGGGAGCGGGGGCTGGTGCACGACTCGGGCCTGCGTCCTCCCGGTCTCCGGATTTCTTCCGGAAGGTGCTGTCTTGAATTATCCAAATCTTTGTCATCTTCGTATCCGGGCCGGCGATGGAGATGTCGGCGGAGATGATGAGGTCCATGACGAGGAAGGCGTATGGCAAGCTCCGCTCAGTGGCGATGGAGGCGCAATCCGCCATGTGGATCATCACGAATTTCACCCAATTGATGGAGGCGCCGTGGATGATGGCATGAATCGCCTTCAAGTCCTCGTTGAAGAGCGAGGTATGGCTGATGTCCCGGGGGCGGAGAATCCGGGTGATGATGTAGAGGACGAGGCGCTTGTCCGGTGGGGCCGAGTGAATCGTCGGTGCGCCGCTGTGACGGATGAGGTTGGTGATCCCAAGCTCTCGGATGACCACCGCCTCGTTGTTGAGGATCCAATCATCGCCACCATAGGTTGCGATGTCGTCACCGCGGATGGGCAGCCCTGCGACCCGAGCGAAGGTAGCCAGATCAATCTCTATGTCGTAGAGATTGATGCTACTGCAAATGGTGTCCCCGTCCCGGCGGAGATTGGAGTAGAAGGCTCGCACAAAGGCGGGATTGAAGCTCGAGCGGCTCCTGGAGACGAACGACCACAGACCCGATGCTTGAAGCTGATTGTCGAGGTCGTGGTACCCCTTTTGTTGAGGGTACAGCTCGGGCAACACCCTAGGCGGAGAAATGGGACGCTTGGCAAAGTGCGTGAGGAACCGGTTGAGTTCCTCGTCCGACCCGAACTCAAGAAACGAGCCGTCCAGGTAGGGGAACGGCGGTGGTGCTGAGGTCGTAGCTTCGACGTTGCCCTTCTTCTTGGAAACCTTTGTCTTCTTTCCTCCGGCCATGAATGAAGCAAAAAGATGAAGAATTGTGTAAAAGAGGAGATTTTGATGTGAAAAATATGTGTTAAAATGAGTAGAGATAAAGGATATATATATAGGAAAGGGTGTGAAATTCGTTTGAAATTCAAAAAAGTGACTCTTGGGCAATAAATTTGGTGACCAACGGTTAAAAAATTTGAATTGGCAGCAGGCTTCCCAGCGATGGGTGGAACTTCCCATCGATGGGAAGGTCGACACTGGAAAGTGAAGAAGAAAACAATGGCTGCCTTCCCAGCGATGTTTGCATTTGCCCATCGATGGGAAGGTGGCTTCTGGAAAAAGAACATGGCCTTCCCAGCGATGTTAATACCATCCCATCGCTGGTTTGGTATTTTTGAAAAACCGTTAAAGAAATTTTTAAAAAATAGTGTCAAATACCCAGCGATGGGAGGAGCTTCCCATCGATGGGTTTGGAGGTTCTGAAACAGAAACATGAACTTACCCAGCGATGGGATAAACTACCCATCGATGGGTAAAGGCGTTCTGGAAATCTGAAAAAAAAATTAAGTCAAACACCCAGCGATGGGAGAAAGTTCCCATTGATGGGTTGGGAGGTTCTGAAAATTTTTTTTGATAAAAGTCCTTCACCCAGCGATGGGACAAAGTACCCATCGATGGGTTAGGGTGTTCTGGAAATCCGTTAAGTATTTTTTAAAAATTAGAGTCAATTACCCATCGATGGGAAGAAGAACCCATCGATGGGAAGAGGGGTTCTGGAAAAAGATAAACTTCCCTCCCAGCGATGGTATGGCCTACCCATCGCTGGTTCCCCCTGATTTCCAGAGTTCTTCACTTCGAACCGTCCCTGCAAAAAAGAGTTAGAAAACCCTCCGACGCTCAAGTTAGTAAACGTTCCATTAACAATAAAAGATGTATTAAGACTAAAGATGTATTAAGACTAAGAAGTGCAATGAAGGTTTTTTTGCCTAAAGAGCCAAGGTGTAAAGATTGGGTCGGTCTTGATCACAATGAAGACCGACTCAACGACACTAAGACTAAGGTCTTCGTTCTTGGTCTTCTTTTAGCTCTTGTTCTTGTCTTCCTTCTTCGCCTTGTATATTCAAAGTTTGACTTGATCACGGCGGTTTGGCATTATCAAAACCTGTCATAAAAACAAACACGGCTTTAGTACGAAAACGTGACATGCCCGTGTTTCAACAGTTCCCAATTCCCTTTGTGTGTAGCGGGGCAGTACCCAGCCTGTCCATGTNTTCACTTCGAACCGTCCCTGCAAAAAAGAGTTAGAAAACCCTCCGACGCTCAAGTTAGTAAACGTTCCATTAACAATAAAAGATGTATTAAGACTAAAGATGTATTAAGACTAAGAAGTGCAATGAAGGTTTTTTTGCCTAAAGAGCCAAGGTGTAAAGATTGGGTCGGTCTTGATCACAATGAAGACCGACTCAACGACACTAAGACTAAGGTCTTCGTTCTTGGTCTTCTTTTAGCTCTTGTTCTTGTCTTCCTTCTTCGCCTTGTATATTCAAAGTTTGACTTGATCACGGCGGTTTGGCATTATCAAAACCTGTCATAAAAACAAACACGGCTTTAGTACGAAAACGTGACATGCCCGTGTTTCAACAGTTCCCAATTCCCTTTGTGTGTAGCGGGGCAGTACCCAGCCTGTCCATGTACAAATTCTTTCGTTTGAATGGAAGTGTTTATTTTTTCATGTCCATATAATTCTTTAAAACAACGGTTATTTGATTGTTTGGAAAGCCATAGTCTGGACAGGGTTATGAAGATAGGGGGACGAGACAATTGGGCAAAATGGAGAGTTTCTCACTGTCTTGGTCACTGCATGGGATGTTTTTTTTGGAGCTGAAGGTTTGAATCAACCTTGACTCGAGATCATTAATTGATATCCAATTTGTGGCGTATTTTGAGTTGATTGGAATGCTCTTTCAAGGTATGAAGTTTTCTTTCCATTCTAGTCAAAGATTCCTTTGAAACGAGCAAATTCTAGGACTCGGTGCATAGTTTACAGTGTAGCATTGCAGTCCAGTTTTAACCAAGTTTCTAGGACTCGGTGCATAGTTTCCATTCACTATTTATTTTTAGGTTTCTGATTCATATAATCAATACTAGGTTCCCTGGAATTGTTGGTTTCGTTACACTGTTCATGTTTTTCGTTACTATTTATTCTTTGCTGTTTTGTTGAGGACTCAAAAATGGAGATGGCCCAAAGGCCCCTGGTAGCTCAAGCCACCACTTCAAGTCAGACAGCCAACACCAGTGTTATAGATTTGAGTACAGGTGAGGGTGGTCAAACTGGACCTACTGCCATGCCACTAGCAGCGGGTAATAACTAAAAGAAGAAAAAGAAGGCTTTGAAAGGTGATGAATCTATTGTGGATGGTTATGGTAATGCTGCCTTGAAGATTTGGTCTTCATTCTTTAATTTGAGTAATTTTAGAATATGGAGTTTCATTCTTTGTATTTTGTTTGTTTTCTACTTTGGATTGAAGAAAGTCGATGTACTCTTAATTTTGAGATTAATTGATTATATGGGTTCCCAATTCTCTTTGTGTGTAGCGGGACAGTTCCCACCCTGTCCATGTACTTTTTCTTTTGTTTCAATGGAAGTGTTTATTTTTCCATATCCATATAATTGTTTGGAACAACGGTTATTTGATTGTTGTATAAATTTTGCCCGAAAGTATGAATGTAAAGTAAGAGAGCGTATACATTTTCATTGTAAAAAAGATTACCGTTTCTCCGAACTTTTAAAATAGTTTTAAGCTTAAGAGCTAGACTACTATTTAAAATGAGTATTCTTAACTTTTAAAATAGTTATAGGCTTAATATGCACAATTCTCTTAAAAACAGTTTTCTTTTCTTATTATATATAACCGTGAAAAAAAAGAGTGTGACACACACTACTTGTAATACATTACTATTTCTTATAAGTTTATCAACAGTTATACACTGGGAAACCAAACTTCTGTTAGGAAGTAGTAGTCTTAATTAACTATTGCCAACTATGGCAATAAAAACTGTATTTTTTTACGAGCCCGACTACTAATAATAGATGACTGTTTCTCACAACTTCAAAAACAGTTCTACCCATAATTCATAGACTATTGTTACAAACGAGTCTGAAAGTCGATTTACACCCTAAGAGGGGGGTGAATTAGGGTGTTTGCAAGTTTTTCGTTAAAAGTAAAACTTATGTGCAAAGTAGTAGCGGAAAAAGAACAAGAAAAATATAAAAGATAAAAATACGACACAAGTGATTTTATACTGGTTCGGGAACTCCTTACTCCAGTACCTCGAGGCTCCTCCTCAAAGATTTAACCTCCACTAACTTGTTTGGCTTCACTAAGAAGACTCAAACGAGGTTTGGCAAACAACCCTTGCCAATAAGCAAATGAGATTTTACTACGGCTATCTCAACTGTTTATAACCGAAGATTTTAAGGCTATCTTCAACCTTACAATGAGAATTTAAAGGCTATCCACACCTTTTACAAATCAATAAAAGATTGGTGTTGCTTCTCTATCAAAATGATAACAAATATCAATTGGGTAGGAGAAAAACAAAAGATTAAATCAACAACAACAAAAGCCTATAGGCAAGATATAAAATAATGAAGCACAAATACCCTTGTGTGTGAGTGTATGAAAATAATAAAAGATTTTTACTCAAAAGCGTAAGAAAAATAAGAACAAAGCTTTAAGAACACTCAAGAATAGAGAAAGAGGCTTTAGATTTAATTGGGAAGTTGTTGTGAATAAAATAAGACTTAGAGAGGGTTTATATAGGAGTTTGGAATGTTAAAATTTGAGGTTTTAACGTTAAAATCCGTTAGGAAGTGATTAGGGGTGATTTGAATTTAAATTGGCAATTTGCTATAGTGATTACAACGGATCTGGTACCTTCACGGTAGGGTCAGTACCGTCCGGTATCTAGGTACCGTGACCACGGTACAGCCTACCGTTTGGGGGTACCGTATAAGCCAAAAGTTTGGTTCGCCTCTGGCGGTACCTAGTTAGGACGGGGGTGGCCAACCGTCTCTGCCTACCGTCTGGTACCCAGGTACCGCTACGCGGTAGGGGGGTACCGTGTACTTCTCAAGTGAAGCGTACAACGGTACGTTCACTTGGCTACCGGCGGTACCATGGTGCCGTGTACACGGTAGCCAGGTACCATTTGACCTGTGCAATTTTTCCAAAACTCGTTTTTCGTGTTTCGTTTTCAAAATAACCCCAACTAAGAATTTTTTTGACATTTTAGAAATAATTTTTGAGTGAAAGGGCATAAGTATATCATTAAAATATATCGTTACCTTTACACAACAATTTCTAAACTCGTAGGAGTATATCTTGGTGATGCTAAACAAGCTAATAGAGGTTTGGCGTTTGTTTTCTTCCTGCAAATGATGTTAGTAGCATTTAGAAGACTTATTTGGCACATCAAAACGGTTTTGGGGTACGGCATTCAAGGCCAACAATCTCCCCCTTTTTGATGTTGACAAATAAGGCTTTCGAATATAATAATCAAATGCATAAACATATCGTGAAAAGCATATATAGATTTTAAACTCCCCCTAAGTTGATGCACGTGATATTTTGAAAAAAAACTCCCCCTAAATGTATGCATATGAAAGCCGAATATTTCTCCCCCTTTTGGCAACATTCAAAAAGGCAGGGTACCAAAAACATGAGTTTCAACACATAGGCATTCATCACGGCAACAATTAGCAAATCAAGCATAACAAGCCATAAGCAAGCAAATAATAAGCATAATCATAACAAAGGAGTTTGAGTCATACAAGTGCCTAAATAAGAGTTTGAAACATAAACATGACAAAGAGTTTTAAAACTTAGGCAAAATACATAATGTTTCATCATATTGTCAAATGCTCAACACTTAGCGACGTCTAGAAGCACGATCCTCGTTTTGCTTTTGGCGATTCTCACGGTCCTCCATCTTCTTCATCCAATCCGAGAGATCATCGAGGCTTTCTTGAAGTTTCCTCATCAGAGCCACCACGGTCTTGCGAATGAATCTCTTGAACTTCTTGAAAGGATTTTTGGAAGCGGAGGCCATGTGCGAGTGACGATGCATGAAGAGGCCGAGGAAGCATGAGATGCCGACTTTGAGCGTTTGACCCGAGGAGCACGAACGGGGACCTCCGTGTTTGCATTTTCTTCGGCTTCAACTCGGGGTGCGCGTGAAGTGGAAGGCAAAGATGACACAGAACGCCGAGGACCATACTCCGCTCGTGTCGCTTCATCAAGATTTTGAAACACCTTTTTCATGTAATACTCCTCTCCCATCTTTACAAGGCCACAATAGCCAAGGCACTCAGCGTCAAGATAGCGGATGCAGGACGGGCGCACCTCAAGAATTTCCCTCTTGGCAAAGATGTGGATAAGAAGCATGCCAAAGGATTTGTTTAGATGATTGGAGCATTCGTGCATGTGTTTAAGGATGACGGAAGGGAGATTGATTTTCTTATGAGTGAGGAGCCAATATAGGAGAGTGCATTCATAAACCCCAACTTGTTTATCTTTGTTAAGGGCCAGGATGACATTTTCTTTGAGGATTTTGAGGAGGATGAACCTATTTGCGGGTAAGTCTTGTACATTTGGCCTACGAAGAAAGTAGTGTGGGTCCTCAAAGACATGGTCAAGGGCAATGTTATTTAGAACTCAGAGGCAAGAATCGGAGTTAAAGTCTCATGAGTCGGTAATCCACCCCTTTTTGCAATAGGTGGAGACTCCTTGACGCCCTAGGTGAAACCATTCGGAAAGGTTTTGGGTGTTGAATCCGAAGGTTTTGCCGGCTACAATGGCGGTAATGGAAAGGTCTTGGGGATGATATTTCATCGAAGAGTAAAATTGATGAACAAGTTCCAGATAAATGGGGGCTTGGAGTTTAACGCCCCAAAACCCGGCTTAGCATTTTAATTAATTTATAAAATTTAAATTATTATTGAGTCGGTCAATACGAAGATTATTTTCTAATTTGCCTTAATAATTGAGGGTTGATCCTACATTTTAGAGCTCGCGGTTCTGAATCCGATCTACAGGGTTTGAGATACGATTGAAGAAACAGGTAAGTGGGATTAAACTTGTCCTAATTGGTTAGGAAGTGTAAATTGGACCCTAAATATAATTATATATTAATCCAGCCTGGGAGTTACAGAAACGCACGACCCTTTCCTCTCTTCCCTGCGTCCGTTTCTTCAGCCGTTCTGCTCGTTGCTTCTGCGCTGTTCACCGACGACGGGAGGCAACGAAAGAAACCACCGCTATCTCCAGCAGCGCCGCCGTGACTCGCCGTCAATGCCAGTGGTTCCGAGTGACGTCCTAGTCCCGTCCCTCCATCGCGCGTAGCAGGCCGGCGAAATCAGAGAGTTGCAGCGGCAGTTCTCCCTCCTCGGTTAAGCTTTGAATTCGTCAAATTTCGAGCTGATTCGTGGTTTCTATACCTTCCGTTAGCATTAATTTGTAGATTAGAACTTCCTTGGCGTATAATCTTGCGATTTGATTGGGAATTTGTGATTGTTGTGTTGAAATTATGGAATTGGTATTTGGGGGGCTGTTTTTCGTCATCACCTCCGGCGATCGTCGGCAACGGCGGCGGCGAGGTGGCCGGAACTGGGCAGCCTCTTGATTTGGACCAATTGGATCTAATTGGCACCAATTGGGTCCAAATGGGTGCAATTGGGTTCAATTGGGTCGTAACGGGTTCAATTGGGTTCAATTAGGTTATTTGGATTTAATTCGATACAATTGGGTTGGATTGGACCGTTTGGGGCTAATTGATGGCAGTCCGGGTGGCTGTAAATCACCCAATAGGGCAGTTTGGCTGGGCTTCGGGTTTGGGCAGTCGGGGGCGGCTACCGACGGGGTGCCGGGGTTGTTCCAGCGACAATGGGGACTGCTCCGGCGGGGGCAGCGAGCTTGAGGATCGATTCCTTGGGCTCGATTCCGCGCAGGTAAGTTGGATTAATTCTAATTTGGGTTTGTTGATTATGCATGACGGTAATCGTTGATTCTCGGACCGGATAGGCCGCTACGTGATTTGTTGTGAATTTGTGAACCAATGATAAATTAAATTAATCTTATTGGTGAATATTGTGGATTATGAATAATGTAAGAGAAATAGGCCACCTAGTATAATTAGGCGGACCTGAATTGGATTGACTGATT